GGTGCTGTCTTTGATTCGACATCCCCACAAAACCGGCATCCGCGTCTGTCTGTCTACCATCCGTGTCACACACGCGCACAGGCCGACTGCTCAGAGGCCGCAAAGGCCGTCAGTAACGTCCGAGGTGGCACCACCTCCCTCCTCGCCGCCGCCACTGCCGGCGCCCGGAGGCCCCTGTCACCTTCAACTTCGCCGTCGCCGTCGCCGTCACCTTCATGGTCACCGTCATCCTCACGAACACAGGGCAGTCCACGTGTGGCAGGTACGACACGTACGACAGGTGTGCGTTATGCGCTTTTGCACAACATTTGTTGTTTTCCTCTTTGTGTGCCTCTTTCCGTTTTCCCCCGCCTGGCAGGACCTCTCTTCACTCCCCTCACCCCTCCCTACCTCCCAGTTGTGTGTTTTCCTCGCCACGATGTTCCCCCGCGACTCGCGGCCCCTCCGCGCTTTTTTCTTCTCCTCCGCTAGCTCGTCTGCGTCCTAATCATGGTGCTGCTGTACTTTTGAATCCTGCCGTACAAATCCCAGCTCTCGAGAAGCCTACAAATTTCCAATTCTTTTATTTACCTTTCTCCCTTCGGGGCCCACTCTCTGGTTTTTAAACCTGTGCCTTGCCGTACGTACGTCTTTTTGCCGTACGTCATGCACCGGTCTTGTCCTACACCGATTGCTGCAGCAGCGGGATCGTTCGCCAGGTGGTTCTCCCCCAAGTCGCAGCGGTCGCGGTTTGGAGGCGAAGGTGAGATTGATACGCGTACGGAGGTGGCGGTACGGCGGTACCAGCGGCGGCGCTGGAAGCGGTTGCGGTTGCGGCGGCGACAAGCATTGGCTGCTGCTGCGGCGGCGGCGGCCTGCCCCTCGCCAAGCCAAGTCGTTACTCCTAGGCATTGGGGGCTGTGGTTGCGGGTATAGGTAGAATGTACGGCGCGAGTAGTACGGGTCGATGTTAAGTTTGTGATGTGTGGCGGATGGACGGGATGGGTGCTGCCACTGCCAGCCGCGGCCGTCGTACAGCGGCCACCGATACGGCGGCTGTACGACCGCAAGCAGACCATGATGATGCTCTTTGCCATCCCGCGGCCCCCACTAATTTGTGGCGGGCCCGCCGCTGTACGACGTCGTACGGCCGCCAGGTGTCAACGATCACGGCAATCGGGACGTCGCCAACAGCGGCAGCGGCCTCGATGTGGACACGTCAACGTCGCATTTGCAAGGCGGGGAGGATGTGGCGACGCTGGACGAGCAGCCGACCGTGTCGTACTTGCCAGGCGCCGTCGCCGCTACCTCTACCACCGATACTGACGACGGCGGCGGCGGCCTGTCGGTACAGCGCAGCGCCACAAGCGTGACGGCCAGCATACCTCAACTGAACGACGGCGGTTCCGGTGCATCGGCGAAGGCGGCGCAACGGCAGGAGATCTCTGGGACCCTGCCGCGCGCAGACAGCTTTAGCCTGGCGTCGGCGTCGGCGGCGCTGGCGGCGGCGGCGGAGTCACGAGCTCGGGCGTCGGCGGCTTCGCCGACCGGCGTGTCCGTCAGCGGCGGCTCCTTCACGAGAATGTACGGCAGTGTGGATCGCCGACGGCAGCCACGGCGCAGCCCATCCGGCAATGTGGTGCTCGATCTGCAGGTGCGTGTGTGTATATCTATGTATGTATGCATGTATGCATATCCTTTAGGATTCACCGCCCTGGATACGCTTTGGGGTTGGGTGAATGGAGGAATGGATAGACGGGTGCTCCTGCCTGCCTGTCTGTCTATCTGTCTGTCTATCTGTCTGCCTGCTGCTTGCTCTGGGCATACGGCGGCTCGCTGTTTGATGTCATATCCAGCGACATGACCCACGGGTCAGCTGACCTGGGGTCTATAAAACGAAGGAAGCGGGGCCGGATGTCCCTATAATATACGCCACACCTGTCGTACAGTTGCCAGTCCGACCTCTGCGTTCCGACCTCTGAGCTTGTCATTTAAAGGACCCGCCCATGCCCTCGGGATCGAATCTGTACGGCCAGGCCATGACCACGTCTTCTTGGAGCCTCGTGGGCGCCTGGCCCAGCGCCGCTTCGCTCCGTGGCCAAACGGCACGGCGGCGGCGGCGTGCCTCTGTCAGCAGCGGCGAGCCGCTGTCGCCGCTGCTGCAACGGCGGCACTGGCTGCCCCGGCTGTCGCAGCCGCTGCCCGGTACGGCGGCGGGCGCGCGCGGCGGCACGGGTACGGCGCCGTTGCCACAATCGCCCACGGCGCAGACCTCCGGAACCGCAGCGGCGCCCGTACGAGCGGCGTCCGCCAGCGGCCGGCGGCGCAGCCAGACGAGCTCCGTCAGCACGCCATTGCCCCGCGTGGTGAGAATGTGTGTACATATTTATGTACATGTTTGTGTGTATGTTTATGATATGTGTATTATATCACATAAGACGGGCCAACATTACCCCAATGTGCTGCGTGTGCAATGTTACACATGACTCAAGGGCGGACCCACTCTCACACACACATACATATATACACACGCACACAGTCACGCGCACGACCTGCCTTGACACTCCTGCTCTGAAAACCTGCGGGCAGGTCTTCTTCGCCGCGGCCTCCGTTCAGCGCGCCACCGCACGACAACAGCAGCAGCAGCAGCAGCGGCGAGGACAGACCAATTCCATACTTCGTGCCATTGTCCCTGGAAACGACAACAACAACAACAACAACATCAACAACAGCAGTAGTAACAGCAGCTCCCCTGCGGCAGTAGCATCGATGTCGCGGCGGCAGCAGCACGGGGTGCAGCAGCGGCAGGGAAGGTCTGCCTCTGCGAAGGGGCCTATGAACAAGATGGCTTCGTTGCCGCATCCCGGCCGTCGCGGCCAGTTGCCTGTTTTGGCAAATGGCGCCCCCCATGCCAAAGGTCCTGATGAGGCAACACGGCCCGCCGTGGCTGCCACCGCCTCCCCCGCGCGCAATGGCAGCAGCAGCCCGCTTGGCACACACCACACTTCCAGCCCACCACCACCGCTCACCACCACCACTACCATCACCACCACGGCCACCACCACCACGGCCACTGACTTCCTAGCAATGAAACACATTGCGAGTGCGAGAGATGCAAGCGGCGGCGGGGCCGGTGGCGGCACCGCCGAGGAGGGGCCTGTCGTTACAGCCGCGGCTGTAGCGGCGGCGGCGGCTGTAGCGGCGGCCGCCGCTGCTACAGGGGAGCCGGGACTGGCGGCAGTGGGAGAAGGGCGACGTGAGCTGCAGCTGAAACGAAATGCCATGACGGCTGCCAGGCCTCTTGGCGGCAACCCGAACGCCAGCAGCCTCAACAGCACAGATGAAGAGCACGAGGAGGAGGAGGAGGAGAAGGAGGAGTTACGGCGCGACGACGGCGTCCGCCGTAACGGGACACGTACGTCTGGCGGTGGCGGCCACTCAGCCGCATTAGGGTGGGATGAGGACTTACAGGACCACCCACCCATCTGCGCATCGGAGGGGGCCGTACCTGCCGCCGTACGGGTCGTCTCCGCGGCCACAACCGCCGTGACGGCAGCTGCAGACGGCAGCGCCGCCAGCCCGGAATCGTTCCGGTCGGTGGCATCGGCTTTCCTTGACGACGGCGGCAATGGCGACGGCAGTGGCGACGGCGGCGGCGGCGGCGGCGGCGGCGGCTCGGTGGCGGGCAGGGGCTCCACTGTTCCTGGCAGGCCAGGTGATGGTCGGGCGGCGGCGGCGGCGGCGGGGGGGGCATTGGGGTTTGCTACGGTGGCGGCAGTGGACAACAGCTGCGGCTACAGCTCCCTCGCCTCCAACCCATTCGAAGTGTCGCCATTTGCGCGGTCTCAGGTCCAACAGTTCGCACAGGCCCGCGGAACAATCTCGGCAGCCCTGGCGGCTGCAGGGGCGGCTGCGGCTGTAGCGACGGAGGTGGAGGCGGACGGCGAGGGTGAGACGGAGGCGGAGGACTGTGTGAGCGCCCGGGAAGAGGAGGAAGAGGGGGGAAACGGTGACGATGGTGGGGAAGGGGAGGGGGAGGGAGAGGACGTATTCGTGGTGGAGGAGGAGCAGCAAGATTACTTCGAGGGCGCCGCGGAGGAGGAGGGGGAGGCTGGGCAGCAGCAGCAGCAACAGGTGCTGGTGGGAGAGGGGGAAGAGGTCGAGGAGGAGGAGGTCGAGGAGGAGGAGGAGGAGGACGCTCGCTGGCACGAGATCTCCGCCCGGCCGTTTCGCGACCCCGTGTCGCGACGGCGATGTATTCTTCTGATGCAGGTGAGTGTGAGGTGGGGGAGTGGAGGCGGGGGAAAGCCCGCCAGGGTCATTATGGAGTCCTGTCTGTCTGTCTGTCTGTCTGTCTGCCTGTCGTCCATGCGGTCCTGCATTTCCTGTGCGATATGTGTGCTGTTAGTAACATTTACATATGTACATACATACAGATGCATGCGGGGGAAGACCTGGTGCAGCCTATAACAAACAAAGGTCTTTTTGCAGTCCTGCCGTGTTGTAATATCTTGTTGTTGTTATCATTACGCCGACCAACCGAACGAACTTCCCAACTACCTACCCAACCTCCTAACTACCTAACTACCTCAAGATGGATGTCACGGCCAAGGTGGAGACGGAGCGGCAGTTGGCCGAGCTGATGGACGCGGAACACCAAATCCTGGAGCAGGTGCGGGATGTGTGTGTATGTATGTATGTATGCGTGTATATATGTAAAGGGGAGTAGAAGGTGGGGTCGGATGGGGTGAGGTAGCCCCGGGGGGGACGTTGATCTTGCGGGCGTGTGGATGTGTGTGGATGTGAACGCAATCGATTTTGTGCACCGTATTAACTCCGCGGCGAAACCAGACTTTCTGACAAGGCGGGAACGCAAACTCCCCCTCTCCCCCTTTCCCCCTCCCCTTGTCCCTCTCTTCCCCCCGCCTCCCCCACAAGTCCAGATCTTCCCCCGCCACGTGTTGGAGCACATGGCCGTGGACGCCGCTGCAGCCGCCCAGCGACCCACGTGCGCCTTCCACATGTTCAGGCGGGACGTCGGCAAGCTGGCGACCAAACACGACGCAGTGGCCATTCTGTTCGCCGACATCAAGGGCTTCACCAGCAGTGAGTGCGTGTTTTGAGGGGTAGCTGCGCACGTAGCCTCGCACGTAGCTGCACCACACTGGGGGGACCGGGGCCCCCCTGTAAGGCCCGACTGGCTGACTGCCTTGGGTGTACGAGAGTGCGTATAGGAGTGTGTGGAGGGGGAAGGAGGGCGGGAGGGGGGAGGACGGGGGAAGGAGCGGGAGGGGGGCAAGGGGGAGGCTGTTTAGGAATTAATAGGAGTAATGGTGGCTTCAGGCCTCAGGAAGAGGGAGAGGGAGGAGCCTTATCATACAGGCGGATTTGGGGGAGGGGGAAAGACGGGAAGAGGTCCGCCTGCAGGTCGCTGCGGCATCGTTGCGCCCGCACAATCGCGTTACGTGGACGCACATACATACACACAAACACACACGTACATACACACACGTACATACACACATACATACACACATACACACACGCGCAGCCTGTAGGACCTTGCAGAGGTCTATACCCACCTACGTACCAGGGGGGTCTACCCCCCAGGTGGGGGGAGGGGGGTATCTGGGCAGTCGGGTGGTGGGAGGATGCCTCAACACGTCTGTGAATGCCCGAGTACGTGGAATGGCCCCACCAACCTACCAATTCCTCCCCCTTCCATACACACACATACACACATACACACACATCCCGAAATCTCCGGCCCCCCTTATCTTCCCCCAGTGTGTAAGGAGGTCGAGCCGGAGGTGGTCATGAGCTTCCTCAACGAACTCTACAACCGATTTGACACTCTGCTGGACGTGTACGGCGTGTATAAGGTAGGGCTGCGCATGGGGCGGGCGGGGGAAGGGTAAGAGGGAACGTGGACAGCGGCTGTGTTTGTACGGCAGTTGTCTTGAGGGGGAAGTGGCGGGTCGTACAGGCGGGTTGATTCGCGGGCCGGATCACATCCTCCGCCCCTCGCACCCATCTCCAGGAGGTGGGGGGAAGGAGGAGATCAGGGCACACGGACCATACTCATGAAGCAGCTAATGCTATTGCTGCTGCTGCACCGGGGGAAGCTGTGCCATGCCTTGTCGTACCGGGACATGCTCGTACCTCCGCCCCTCTCCTCCTCCGTTTTCCCCTCTCCATGTTCCCCCTCCCCTCCCTCTTCCCCCCCTCCGCCCCCCCCGTTGGGGCCCCAGGTGGAGACCATCGGCGACTGCTACATGGTGGCGGGGGGCCTTATTCGGAAGGACGAAGAGGGGTTTGCTTCCGTACACGGCCCCGGCGCGGTAGACCCCCTGCATGCCGTACGAGTCATGAGCTTTGCAAAGGTGAGCCCGGGCAGGCAGGCAGGTAGGCAGGTAAGGGGTATGGGAAGGGTGGATATTATCCTAGCTAGGCAGAAACCCTCCTCCTTTCTTTGGCGCCTCTAGTTCTACACTTTACACCACTACGGTTTCGTTTGCTTTCCTGCTGCGTCTTTTTAAAAGACTTTCCTTTCACCTCGGCGGCTGGGTAGTCCTTTTCGCTTTTTTACCCTTCTGCCTTCTTTGGACTTGGGACTTGGGACTTGACAAGCTAGTTTTCCGTTCCGCAACCGCTCTCTATGTCCCCCTCGTCGACCCTCGCCGACACCTCCCTGTTCACGTCATCATGGGTCAGTGAATATTCCTGATGCAGTGTTTGTCTTCTCCTGGAGTACCCGTATATCGTCTGTGCTTCGTCGTCGTATCCCCTCCCCCAAAAAACTCTTACCCTGGCAGCAGCTTCACTCGTTCGTGGTTCGTCTTTCCCCCCAAAAGCACCCATATAGGCAGTCGACTGTACATTTTCATTTGGGTGGGGGAAGGGCGCCGGTCTTCCGTGACTTTCCGAGCCCCCTCTGGCCCCTCCTTACCTCCCATTCCTCCCCACCCCCAACCCAACCAACCTCCCAACCAACCTCAGGCAATGCTTCGTGAGGCGGGTAGCATGCAGCTGCCCAACACGGGGGAGCCGCTCAAGATCCGAATCGGGATCCATTCTGGGCCCGTGGTGAGATCCAGGGGGTGGAATTAGGTACTGGTTTCGGAGGAGGGGCCTCCCGCAGACGTGCCTTTTCATTGCGGCGTCAGTCTGTGTGTGTGTATGCGTGTGTGTGTACGGATTTGGTGCCTTTGGGGGCCACTAAGAGGCCGCGAACACACACACACTGACGCACACACTGACGCACACACACACACATACATACACACACACCTGATCGCCCTTCGCCGCTACAGCGGCCGCTTATGTCTATGGGCTCTTGGCATCACAGCTCAACTTCATGGCTCTTATATGTATGTTGTTACAGGGTGGTTAACTTCGCCAGCGGCCCCCTTTCCCGGGGCAGTCCCTGCTCTCCCCTGCTAGAGGGGCACCCTAATCCGTCACCCCATCCGACTTCAGAATGTATTCGTTGGGTTCGGCAACTCACCACCAGCATCCAACCAAATCTAGCGGATCAACGGCGCATCAACTTAGTTTCTGGTCAGCTCGCAAGTTGATATTATCACGTCCTACACCGTCCATAAGATGGGGGGCCACTTCCCATTTCATCACTCCTCAAACACCCGAGGAGCCGGCAGGCGGATTTGAACCCGGGTCGACCTTTCAAATTGAACTTTCTAATTGAAGAAGCATCATTACGACTGATCAGCAGGCAGCACATGAGCGACTTGGTTCTGGAAAAATAAAGAAACAAGTAAAGAAAAAAAGTATAATTATACAGAGGTTGATGGTCCCTGAAATAATGAGTTTGCTAACATTAAATTAATGCGCTATGGAGAAGTTTGGAAAACTACAAACCGGATGATGTTTATTTACATGTTATTACGTTCTAATGAACATCTTCTTGAAGGTGATTGAAGCTACGTCCACAGCTTTACTGGAAAATTCTAACACGTGAGTCTGGAGCCCACTGTAACTAGCACACACAAACATACGTCACTTTGGTAAAAAGTTTACCTTCGTCGCGGCTAACCGCAATCATTGAAATACATGCATACCCACACATCTACGTAAGATATGTTTGAACAACAATTACATATACATTTTAACAACACAGGTATATTTGGATGCCGACGGCGAACTTCTTGACTCGATTTCCCCCTCTCCCCTTCCCCCTCCCGTCGTCCACCTTTCCACAAATCCCCCCCCCGCTCCCTCATCCCCGCTCCCAGGTCTCTGGTGTGGTGGGCACCCGCATGCCGCGTTTCTGTTTGTTTGGCGATACTGTCAATACAGGTGAGTCAGTGAGTCAGTGAGAAAGTGAGTGAGAAAGTGAGTGATTTGAAGAGCAGTGGGGCGGGGTGAGACCAGGGATGAGACCTTCTCATCCCGTACGACACCCTCTGACATGGAGGGTGGGGTTTTATTGATCACGTCGTACTCGTGCGGCCTTTGTTTTAACTTGCGCTTTGTATGTATGTATGTATGTATGCATGCATACATGTATTTATACGCATGCGATTTGTACTTTGTGTATGTACGTCTGTGTGTGCGCGCAGCTAGCCGCATGGAGAGCACTGCCGAGCCAGGTACCATTCACGTGAGTGAGGACTGTCGGCAGCTGCTTAGCAAGGAGATGTGGCGGCCCACGGGGGGAGTGGAGGTGAGTGGGGAGGGTGAGGGAGGGAGGGGGGCTGAGAGGTGGTTGCACCCTATACAGACGCGGGGTTTCGGGGTGGGGTAGGGTAGGGTAGGGTGGGGTAGGGTAGGGTAGGGCAGTAGGCCTGCGCGCATTCCCTCGCACCCTCCAGCAACCTCCCAAGGGTTTAAACTCCTCTTTCCAGGCAGAAGAAGAAGACTGGATCGCAGTACGCATGTATGTGTGTTTGTCTCTCGCCCTACCCCACCCAGGTGAAGGGGAAGGGCCTTATGCATACGTATGTGTGGCTGGGAAATGAAACGGAGACGGCGCCGCATTTGCTGCCCGAGGGCGCCGCCCGGGCCGCGGGCGGCGTCGGAGGCGCTGCGGCCTTGCTGGACCAGCTGCCGAAGCGCAGCTGTACGACACCGCGTCTGGAGATGCTGTACAGAGTCGGCGGTCCGCTACGTGTGGGATCACTTTCTGGGCGTCGACCGCGGCGGAGCATCACGTCACCGCGAGATGGCGAGTCGTCGGCTGCGCTGCCATTGCGCGGCGGCGGCGGCGCCGCCGCTTCTGCAACCAAGGTAGGTGGGTCGTTGGGTGGTGGTGCAGTGTGTCGTGTAGCGCAACAAGCTAAATACCGAACCGCTGACGGGATGGAAAGACACCGGAAACATCGAATGCCGCCGGCTTCCCGGCTTGACCTCCACTTGCGCAGGCATTTATGCGAAGCAATGCGGTCCGCATGAGCGCATCTGCAGCCGCCGTACAGCGTGCATCGTTGCTGACGTCGACAGGCTCATTGACACCTCGACCGTCAGGCGCCGCCGTCGGCGGCTTATTGACACCTCGACCGTCAGGCGCTGCCGTCGGCGGCTTATTGACACCTCGACTGTCAGGCGCCGCCGTCGGCGGCTCATTGACACCTCGACTGTCAGGCGCCGCCGTCGGCGGCTCATTGACACCTCGGCCGTCAGGCGCCGCCGTCGGCGGCTCATTGACACCTCGACCGTCAGGCGCCGCCGTCGGCGGCTCATTGACACCTCGACCGTCAGGCGCCGCCGTCGGCAGCGGCTTGCTGGCGACGCGACCGTCTGGCATGGCCGCGGGCGGTGGCGGCACTGTCGTTCGCGGAGTTACTGACCCACAGGTCGGCGCCGACGTGGGCGAGTGAACCTTTATGCGGAGTCGCTGAGGTCTGTCCTGGCACTGTCATGTACGGCCAATGTGTACAGGATTGTACGGATCTGCTGGGACGTGACGTAATTTATGAAATTGATGACGAGATATGATGAATGTTGGCATGTAGGCAAATGGAACATTTTATGTAGGTGCATTGTATATGCATATGTGCGTCTGTCTGTTTATCTTTATACACGCGTGTCTCGAATTGCTGATGATACCGGTGACCCTCATAAATTGCGGGTTCCTTCGGTGATTGCCGTACTACGTGTTCCGCCGCAAGTTGCCAAGATGATGGCCAGGGTTTAAGATATGGAATGCCGGGTTTGACATTTTTCGTTGCCCAGGTTTTAAAACACTCTCTCTTGCATATTGGAAGGGGTCAACCAGTTACATACGCCCCCTCTCCTCCGTTTTCTGTGGTGAACCATTTACGTCTGACACAGCGAGTATGGCCCCGGGGGCTCACCGCCCGTACCGTTGTCCCTAAATGGATATGCCGCTCGTTCAGATACTGCTACTGCTAATGCTACTCCTGGTACTGTTGCTGCTACAACTGGTTATTTTTGTTGAGGTAGGAAAAGCATGCTGATGCTTATCCAACAGTTTCTACTCGAAAGAGTTTATACTTCACCGGTTCAAACCCGGCCGCTAACGAGGAATGGATTTCTCCCCTCTTTTGATTACCATTTCTGTCCATCTCTTGTATTGCGGAATGACGTGGCGGTCGTTGTGGCGTCTGGAAACGCCTTAGCGAAAAAGGAGGCGGAGGGGGCGGTGGGGGGGGGGGGGAGAAAGGGGAAGGGCGCATGTGGCGCTGTGTATCGCCGACTCACCGATCGGCATCACGACCACATGCGGAAATACTCCCCCCCCCCTTTCCCCCCCGAGGGGAAGGGCACGGGGGTCTCCGATGAGAACCGTGCGGACCCGGAGACTCTGGTGAGGGGGATGAGGCGGGTGATAGGGGTGAGGCGGGTGATAGGGGTGAGGCGGGTGAGGGGGGTGAGGCGGGTGAGGGGGTTGAGGAGCGGCCGCCCTGTGTCACCTCGGGTTTTTTTAGTACATCCCCTCCCATCCATTCCTCATCCCCCTTTTCCACTCGGAACCCCCACCCCAACCACACGTTCACAGAGGGGCTGCTCGCTGGCCCGGATGAAGCGGCCGCTCCCGGGGGTGGGGGTAGTACCTGATTGCCTAGGGGGGAGGCAATCATGAGCCTGGGTCAGACTGGTGTTTCTAACCGCGTTGTTGGCGGGTTGGCGGTGGGGGGGAGACGGCGAGGGTGGGGGGGATGGCAGTCCGGCGCTGTCTGCGGGGCCGAGAGCGCCGCGGCAGTTTGCGGTTAAGCATTTCGTCTGTCTGTCTGTCTGTCTGTCTGTCTGTCTGAGAAATGTTATTTCTGCATAATCGCCCAACGCATCACAGCACGCGCGCGCAATCGCCGCTGTCGCTGCTGAATCCCAGAAGGACTATATTGCAACACGTACGGCGTTCCCACTGTACTGCAAGCCAAGCGCACTGCGTGCAGAGCCAGAAAATCTTCGTGTGTCTGTATGTCTGTACGTATGCAGGCATGTGCATGGTGCTGTTGTTGTTGTTGTTGAGTGTTTGTGCCTGTTGCGAGCAGGGGCACATCCGTAACGGATGCCAGTTCATATCGGTGTGCGTGTGCGTGTGGCGGCGCTAAGGAGGCAGCTTGTGGACTGGGGTATTCCACGCCGTAATCAACATGTACGGAACATTAGCATTCATAATACATCAATCGTATTAGCAGTAGCGTATGCCTGCATGCACGTGTGTATGCTTGCCTGTTCATACGCCTGTGTAGGCCTGTATGTACGTATGTGTATGTGTATGGGGTGGGTTGAGGCGGGATTAGCTGTGTGTGGAAATCCACCGTTATTTCCGTTGCCTTAGTCGGTACAGCCCCCCCTCCTCCCCTCAGAAAGTGGGGGTAACGGGGAAGCGGTTGCGGTAGCCATAAGAGGCCGGTACGGCAATGGTACGGCAGGCCCCGGAATGTTTGACGATGTATGTATGTCTCTGGGGCGAAAACAGAACACCGAAGAGTTCTAGCTGAGCGAGATTTTGGGATGTTAGGGATCTTTGCACTGGCCCCTCCAGAGTTGTGTGTATGTCCATTTATATGTATATCTGTACGGACGTATGTATGTCCAATGCGGCGCAAGCGCCAGAGGTTGTTGTTGTGACTAGGTTGCTTTGGATGTACGGGACGCGTACGAACTTTTGGATCCGCAGTACTGCCGTAACGTCGTATTAGTAATGGATGCCCGAGATGTGAAGAGCTGGAAACCAACAACACGCCCATCGAAGTTACTCTGATGTTGACCGATGGCGACGACTGTAAGACGCAAATAAAACAGCTTTTTTTAATTGATTTAGGGTTTTGCCCCTCAAACCCAAGCCTGTGCGGGACCCATCTTCGGTGGGGGGGCCTGGCCTCCGCCAGCACTGACCCGCTGAACCCGCCGCCAGTCGGGAAGTCGAGAGCAGCAGCAGCACAACAAAACAACAAGGCAGGCGGAACGCCAGGCAAGCACCGGGCTCAAAATATCTGATAAGCAAAAGCCATGAACCTGTGAACAGCATGCAACACTGTTTATGTACACATACAGATATAGATTATATGCGCATCGGTAAGCTTAACGTGCCGGAGGCCTCCTTCGCACCATTGTGTGTGTTTCGCCTCCACCCCGAGTTACACACGCGGGCGCACGCCGGAACGAGTCTTCCTAGGTGACAGTTGTGTAGGCCTTTCTGTGCTCCTGTCTCCCATAACCGTATTCTCATGGCTGTGTCAACTCGAACAAGCTGGCTGACCTTGCAAAGATTGGTAGAGACGGAAAACAAGGAGACAAGCTGCCAAGGGCCCTTACACTGCAGAATGCAAAAAAGCTACAAGCTGAAGCTCTACTGAGTGAAAGGCAGAATGCCTGAAACGAAAGAGCTGAAGCAATTAATACTCGCCATTCCAATACGGTTGTACAACAGTCGCACAGAACCAGACTTAGAGACTCCGATCGCTTCGCTCCGTCGTATCTAAGTCAACAATTGTCGTGCCAAGGTGCATATACATGGATGCGGTAACGTCTTTTTTGTGTGAAGTAGTGGGGGGTATAACAACTCCACCCGTGGCCATTAGCATGCTGGCAGTCCCCCTAGCACCTTCCCCCCGATGTCTAGGGCGCCACCCTCAACCTCCTCGTCCTTCTCATCACCCATGTGTGAGTGCCGACTTTTCCGAAGTGAAGGGACTTTTTCAAGTTCAGCCACCGCCACCGCCACCGCCACCGCCACCGCCACCGCCACCGCCACCGCACCAGCATCGTCCAGTGGAATTTGTCCCCAGATCAACGGCGGCTGCGTCAACTCCAACCCGCCCTCCTGCTCGGTAGGCTCGCAGGTGTGTCAATATAACCGAATCCATGCGACACTTTGAGGACATCACTGCCCTGCAGTGCCGTACTGCAACAATGCCTTCACCGCACGGAAACCCCAACTCGGGAGTCGTCATTGAACGCACATACATACATACATACACACACACCATAAGGCCGACAACGAACGCGGCGCATAACTGTGCCTGGCGGGGAAGAGTCATCAATTAATACTTAAAATATAAACAGCGCGCTTTTTTACGGCCGCCATGTGCTGGTACTGCTACTTGTACTCTACTGCTAAACCCTTAAGGGAAAACAGCGGCAAGATCTCGATGATAAGAACGAATTCAGCATCATGGCTTTTGTCCGAGGCGCATTTTTGGCGCCTTTCTTGGCGGAAACAACTTCTCTGATTTTCCGGTTGACAGGCCGGTGTCAAGTGTCTCGGGCCCCGAGCCCGCCCCCTCGAGATCTCGGGGTGGATCCTCTCTCTCCGTACAGACCACACAGCGTGTTTCCAACGTCAACATCAACATCACACAACGGCGCCCTGCGTGTGAAATGAAACCCGTAGCAATTGCCGCTCTCCTCCTCATTCTTCTTCCGCGAGCATCTTTAGTGCCGCATTGCAGCTCTTCTTCACGGCGCAAAGGCACAGGCAGCTGCGGCACAATGCGGCGGCAGCGCCACCACCCGCAGCGAGCCCTCGTGCGACAATGCGAATGTGTGAGATGACAGGATATCGCGCAGTCCCCGTGTACGGCCGTCGTAATTGTACGGCATAAAACACCTCCGAACACGGTTTCTTCTATCATCTCTTGGTTGTGCCGGTCTTCACAGACAGACATTCATAAACAACCAAAAAGGACAGAAAAAGCCGCGGCCGGACACGGAGGAGCCCCGGCTGGCTGGTTGGCTGGCCAAGAGCCTTGGCAAGTTGGGGATTTAGGGGGAGAGGACAATCCAGGAAAAATGTTGTATCTTAGGGCGCAAGATGCGCGACGGATGGGGGTGACGGTGGATTGAATGTTATACTTCTTGTCCCCCGTCCCCCCGCGCGATAAATGAATGTGCGTCTCAGTCAGAAAGGACGTCAGGAGGGAGGTCACCACGGAATTCATAATACAGGTGCTGAGGTGCGGTGCCGTGGATGTGGTGGTGTGGCCCACCGGGCGGCGAGGTGGGAAGCGAGCGCGAGAGTGTGATCCGCTGCTCGTCCATGAACGCCGTACGAAAGGACGATGCCGTACGCGACCCCTTTCCTCTTTAAGATGATCATGATCATGATCATCGTCACCGTCATCATCGACACGCGCCTCAACGTGCATACACGACCTCCCTCCCCCTCTGCCCCGGGATGAAAGGGCCACCGAAGGGATGATGCCATCACGTCCGCTTACCGCCCTGGGAGCGTCGTAATACGGAACCCAGCACATACATACATACATACATACATACCCGCGCACGCAAGCCCACATGCCCTGAAAATGCAAACGAAAGAAGGTTGGGTTGGCTTTGCCACGTCCCCCTCCAATCGGGGTCCTTTCGCTTCGTTTGTTCATTCGCCCGCCCTCTTTCCCTCCTACCAGCCAGCCAGCAGCAGTTCCTCCGGCTTTGCGTGATGGAGATGAATCCTGGGTCGCAGCGGAAGTCCGTTGCGTCCTTCTCTTTCCCCTATTTGACACTTCGCCCCCTCCCCTCTCTTCGGCCCCGCTGGGGAACCAAAACGGCGCAAGGGCCCTCAACCCAGTGCCCACCGGGTCCAGGAAATGCCTATGGCTGCACGCACGTATGTGCATATATCCATATCACCGTCACAGCAAAACGAAATAACTTATAAACTGGACATCAACCGAAGCCACCCGGGCGGTCCAGCGTGCTGAAGTTGGCACATGTAGTACGACACAAGGCTCAGGCGTAGTTGGATGTATACGACATGTATACGACTCCTTTGTCACCGATGTCCCACACATTGTGCGATGGGGCGCCGCTATAAGACCTGTAGCAGTTCTTCGTCTTCACGGACCATACGACATACCGCTTCAGCTGCGGCGACCACCCGTCAATAGCCCTTCCCTTCCCGTCCCTGGCCTTCCCCTTCCCCCTCCCTCCCCTTCCACCTCTTTGCAGGAGGCGGACCAACGGGTTGCAAAACCTCGCCGCAGCCCTCCTGCCCCGTCCGCGAGTGTGGACGGGGCACAGCAATTTTCTCCTGCAACCTCAATCCCGCTAGACAGACAGACAGACAGACAGATACATACCGGGCCCAGCCGGGGCCCTGCACCAACCTAAAACCGAATGAAGCCCAACAAAACGGATATATGACCTGTTGCAGTCCCCACAACGGCCGTACTGCAGTACACACAATACGTAAATGACCGGATGCCGGCATGCGCGACCTTTGCGTATATGTTGGTATATATGTTGATAAGTAAAGTATGTATGTATGTATGTGAGCGGAGTGTCATTTGGAGGGGAAAGCCGTGCACGTGCTTCCGCGCCGCGGGACAGGCTGATGCGGCTTCGGGGGCCCTCGTACATAGCTCCGTACAATACACAAAAAATAACAATTTCACGACAGCCGCGACGGAGCAGAGGAGGAAAGACCCTTAGCTCGTTTTCCTCGTGCGCCGTAAACCTGCTCCCCAAAGCTGCACTCTTATGTGGTCGCAAATCTGGTTATGGTTATCACTATCTGCTGGCCGACCTTATAGAGCAGCGCCAACAGCCGGCGCCGTGGCCTCCGTCTCGGGATGGGTGGGGGGCCCCGGTCGGGCCATCGCCGCCGGCGCCAGACCCCCCCCCGGTGGTGGCTGCGGAACCCGAGCCGCCGACGTGCCGCGTGCCGACGCCGCCGCCGGCGGCGGGGGGTCCAGGGACGGTCGCGGACCACCGCCGCCACCGGCCCCGCCGCCGCCAACGATGCCTTCCGCGTACGACAAACGGATGCTTGCCAGACGCATCTTATTGGAGCTGCGTTCGCACGCCTGTACGGCATCTGGCGACGACAAAAGATTCTGGTCGGCGTAGATGTCCTCCGGCGCGTCCAGCGTCAAAGTGGCCGAGCATGAAGCCCGTCTGGCAGGTGCTTGGAAGATGTGCGGGCCACCACCGCCACCGCCACCGCCTCCGCCACCGCCACCGCCTCCGCCATCCCCGCCTCCGCTATCGGCCGTGGCAAATGTCCGCCGGGGACCCCCGTGAGGTGTCGTACGTTCAAAAGCCGGTGCGCGGGGTGTGATTTCTGGGTGTGGCTGCGATGGCGTCTGCGACAAGAAGGGCGACTGTTGCGCTAGCTGCGGAAGACTAAGGGGCTGTGGGGGGTGGAGTGGAGGTTGCTGTGGCGGTGGTGGCTGCGGCACTGGGCGCTGCGGTGTCAGCGCGCCGTCGATGGTGCCGGGCACGTCCGGCGCCGGCTGTCTGAAGCGACGGTCAAACTCCGCGTCAACGGCTGCTAGTGCGCCGTCATCATCCAACTCCAGGGAACTGTTAAAGTCCTGCGGTGGCGCCGAAACCATAATACGCAGTTGAAGGAACGGAGCTAATGATGTGAGTTCCGTACACATTTTCGATGTGCGAAACCTCCGTAAACATTTCGGTGTACAGCAGCACGGATATGACGCCATCTTCGCTGTCCGTGCCCTGGCACTCCTGCCAACCCCTGGCGGGTGGAACCTTAAAGGACAACAGATACGGAGTACAAGCCGTACGGCTGGCGAGTACAAGCCGTACGGCTGGCGTACCTCTTCAAAAGGCTACACCCTTCACCGCACCTGTAGAATGCCGCCAGACGTCTTGGTGTACGATCCAGTAAGCGCCGGCGCCGACGGCCGCGACAGGCTTGTCCACGAAGACCCTGACGGCGCCACCAATGGCTGACAGTTGCCGCCGCCGCCGCCGCCACCGCCGCTTCCCCCGCTGCCGCTCACCGGCGCCTCAACCACGGCAGCGGCGGCGGCGGCGCGCTTAGCGAGGGACGCCGAGATAGCGGCGCCGCCGGGCCCGGTAACGGACGGCCCGCTACAGACGGAGTTACGACGACTGCGCGGCATGCCAAAGTCGGCGGCGCGTGTAAATGACGTGCTGACAGCACTGCCTCCGCCTCCGCCGCCGCCAGTGACGGAGCTCCGCCTCTCCGTCACGGACCTTCCGGAACCGGCATGAAGGATGTCCGGGAGGTGGAACGACCCGAGGACCTTGGCCAGAGCCGACGTCGGGGAACCAGATGAAGATGTGCCGCCGCGGGGGGTCGGCGGACGGTCTCGTACGCTCTGCAGGCCGCCGACGCCGGCGCCAGCAGCGGCACTGCCCAGCGGCGTCATCGGCGGCAAGTGATCCGTACTTGTGGACCGGGAGGGGAGGGGCGACAGGCTGCTGCCGCTAGGGCGCGTCTGCGGCGGCGGGTGCAATGGCGGATGCGGCGACATCGCCGACGGCAGCAACGGAATGTCAACTGTAAGGGATCCGCCTCGTACTGGAGGCCCGCCATAAGAAAAGCGCCGCATGCGTACGCCGCTGCCGGCGCCGCCGCCAGCAGCGGCGGCGCTGCCGTCAGTTGCGTCGCGCTGCGTCGATACCGCTGCTGCCGCCGCCACAGCCGCGGCCTTCGCCAGGTGCTCCCGCGCCAGCTCCGGCGGCACCGGCAGCGCCGCCGCCGTCACGGCGGCGGCAGCAATGTTGTGCGGGTACGGCACGGCGGAGGGGGGGGATGTTGCACGTGGAGACGGCAGCTCCCCAGGACAGGTGAGTCGTGGGGACGTGATGTACGGCATGAGGGGAACAGAGCGCCTTCCCAGGTCTCCGGAGTTCAACGTCAGAAAACCCGGGGGAGGGGGAGGGGGATGGGGGCCGGCGCCTCCCTGGTGTGTGGCGGCGCTTATGCCGGCGTCCGACGCCCCGGGCAGGAGCATGGAGGAGCGCCGGCGGATTTTGGCACATGACCGCGAGGTGAAGCTGTGAAGCGGGATTATGAACAGACATGACAACAGAGGGATTCGGGATGGCGCGGAGTAAGGAGAGAAATGGCACAGCGGCGAATAGGAAGCGGGTGGTTGGCGTTAGTGGGGGGAGCAACGCCAAGTACTGGATGTTTGGGAAGTTAGAGGGTTAGGTGCGCTTATGTTTGTCTTCTGTGTCCCGTTGTTATTTATGCGAGTGTGTCTCCCCCTGTCTGTCTGTGTGTCTGTTTGTCTGTCTGTCCTTCTGTCTGTCCTGTCTGTCTTCCGTTTATCTGTCTGTCTGTCTGTCTGTTTGTCTTCTGTCTGTCTGTTTGTCTGTCTTCTGTCTTGTCTGTTTGCCTTCTGTCTGCCTGTCTTCTATCTGTCCGCCGTCTGTCTGTCGGCCTGTCTGTCGTCTGTCTACCTACATAACAGGGCGTCCCAAAAAGGTGGTCTTGAAGAGCTGAGTCTGTGAGTATGTATGTATGTATATGATTCTGCACGTGAGTATGTGAGTATGCGAGTATGTATGTGATATGTGAATATGTGATCTTGTCTGCCAACTGAAGGTGCACCTGTGCGATCATCAGTACCTTCCCCCATGCCGCCATCTTGAAGTGTAAGAACCCCCAAAATATTAACACGAACGCATTTCCGCACTGTTTCTCAGGTGGGCAGACGTTTGTGGCTTACCTGTCGTTCCGTAAATCACCAAACTGGCCCAGGTTTTGAATCTCCGCACGCATCATGGCGGCGCTGCTAAGGCGGGCGAGCGTGGGAGTCTGGCTGCTGTGCTTGCTGCGAGTTACGCTAAGGTCCATAGCGCTTGACTCGTGCGGGGTGGAGTTTTCGCGGTGCAATCCGACCGCATTCGCCAGCCCTTGCAGCAGCGACCCGACAAAGCCCGTTGCAGAGTCCCGCCGGCCAGAAGAGGATACTTTTGGACCTAATGCTGAGCTCGGGCGCATTCCGGAGAAGGACGAGCGCAGTGCTGCTGCTGCATTGCGCAAATTCTTAGCCATCCTCGGCTGTTCGCCGTTTTGGCTGTCTACGGGTGCAGCTCCTGGTTGTTCCGAAACTGCCTCGTCCTGATGGGAAAGCATTAATGTTCGACTGATCAGGATGGATGGGAATTGATGTAGGTAAGGTTGTGCGGTAAATGTGTAAGGCGACCACTGTTAAGAGCGCCGTGGGCCCACCCACCTCCCATTCATTTGGAGAGACGTTTTCCACATGGTTATGTTTGACGGCGCTTGCGGAACCCGTTGTTGCCATAGTATTAGAAGTCGTCCTATCTGGACGGAAGAAGCGTAGACTTCTCAGCACATCCTAGTGGTAAGGAAATCCTTACGATTGCAACGTAATGGAAACGACTTCTGAGTTTTACGGGGAAGCCTTTTGAAGAGGGTCTGAAGATGCGGGGTAGGTGACAGTGGCTGTGTGACCTCAAACTAACCTCACTCGGCCAACCAATTCTGCACCACAATAGACAGTAATCTAGCTATACAAGTAGCAGTAGTGCTGCGTATATCTCAATAGGCCGCGAAGAAGGTCATGTCTGACTACCGGAACTAACTACCCTACGAATTAGGCAATGCTTACTTAGTTTGCAAGCACAGATTGTGTTAAGCAGTATCTCACAACCTATTCGCGGGGGATAGGGTATACACCTGTGCGATATTGGCGTTTACTGCGAGGGTAGGATTGGGTCTCGACAGGAATTTGCTATCCTCGCTCATGGATAGCAATTATAAAAAGTTTGGCATATGTTCAAAGCATTGCAAGTAGAAATGCAAAAAATGCAGCCTAACTGCGAGATTGATGTGGCCTTAAGAAGCGTGGGGAGTTCCTGGCCATTCGGGCTTTTGGAACTTGGGGAGAAAAAGCCCCAAATGAGCTTATGCCATATCGTTTATAGGATAAACTGAAAAACTTGAAAATGTCGCAACCGGCTGAAGACAACAACCTTCCTGACATTCGCCCGCTATGATCGCCAACATCCTCTAGGAGCTGTGCACGCAATCTGGGAAAGGCGGATGCCCTTTTTCCTTACAAAAATAGACATGTGCAAAGAACTTGTCAGCTGTTACGCTACAGTCCTGTGCAAATTGCCTTCCGAAAGCAAAGACCTTGCACGTGCGACGACGAGCACGGACCGCACCTCACGGACCAGCTACACCTGCGCGCTGCATCAGTCACCACATGGTGAAAACCCTTTTTGGATCCCCTCAAATTCGCGCCCCTCGCGTATCAAACCTCTATAGCACGTATCCACATGCGATCCCTACCGGCCGCGAAACACAGAGAGCCCATTCACCCAGTCCAGCCCCTCCATATGCCAATCCTCAATCACCATGCACACTGCTCGTACCCGTTACCGCGCACCAACACTCAAGGCGCCCTACTTCTTCGAAGAGGCATACAAACACACACACACATACCTGCTCCGAGACTCACCAAAAACCTCGTCGCACCTCTTAACCTCCCGTATAGCCCCCAGGCACCGGATGACCAGAATTAAATTCTTAGCCCAAAAATTTGCAGCGCAGGTTGGATGCGGCCGCTGGAATATGTCTGCCTGAAGACTGAGGCTCCATACTGCCGCACTGCCGTACTGTGCAGTACGATGGATTATGTATATATGTATGTACGTATGTACCTGCCACCAAAGCAGGGGCGTCGGCAGCACCCGTGCCTGGGGGACCACCCCCCGATGCTGCATGGGCAGGTGCTTGGCCTTTCCGCAGCACGCGCCCAACAAGTCCAAAACATGGACTAGAACCCATTTTTGCGTATGTACTTAACCTCACCTCACCTCACTCGCGTACCACATCATCCGCATTCACAAAAAAACCTAGGTTATGTTATCCATCTGGCAGGCTGATTTCTGAACCGCGATATTAAGATTTCATGCCTAATCATCGACGAATAATCTTAACCTCGCTAGCCGCCCAGATTCTTCTTTTTTATTACCATCACCACCAATATCGTCATTACCATCACCACCAACATCGTCATCCTTTTATTCGAAACAGGCCGTTATCATCATCATCATCATCATGTCGTCATTATTCCCAACCAGCACAAAACAGCTAGCTACTTGTTCCACCTGGAGGATCCCACCCACATAGAGGTGCGTGTGTGTGTGTGTGTGTGTGTGTGTGTGTGTGTGTGTGTGTGTGTGTGTGTGTGCGTGTGCCCCAATCAACCGTAAGGCCCAACTATCCACACACGCACAATCCAGTCCCCTCCGACAGGTGTGGCCAGGTCAGCTGTACAAGCGGCCCATTACGCGGCCCGTCAAGGCATGCGCCAGCATGGCGGGCACCGCTGCATCCGCCAAATTGACCCACGGGTCCAAGGAGGTAGCGAACCCCACAATGACGCACACCGCAATGACCAAACTAGCGTAGCAGCTGTCGATTGTGACGGAATGCTTACGAGCCAGGCGCAACACGCTCTTCATCACGGCGTCCATGTCTATGCCGGCGGCGCTGTGCACGTCACAACGGGCTGCCGCCAGGGCTACCATATCGGCCACGAAGGCAGCCGGGTCAGGACAGGCCTGGGGTCGAGAGGTCCAGCGGAGCAGGTGGCCCGCAGCGGAGGCGCCATCGCCTGCAGGACATAACAGATAACAGATAACAGACAACAGACATACATATATATGCTATATGCTACGCATACAAAGTCATGGATTAAAATTCGAAACAATACACGCACATGCAGATAGATAGGTATGCTTGCACGAGGGCATGAGAGCATTCAACGGTATAACCCGAAACATGTGCATAAACAACGCACATGGCGTGGTCGCAGCACGGCAACGGTGTACGACAGCCTGCAGCAGTTCCCTGTGGACATGCGCGCAGTAACGCAATGCGACACCCTGCGTGCTCCGGAGCCAGGTGGCGGGCAGTCGGCTGCTCCGCCACCAAACAATCTGCCAACGAGTTCCAAGTCGATAATCCCACGAAGGAATGAATTTTCATATTCAACAAAAGAATGCCAGCTACCCATGGCCCCACAGACGCAGCACGTAGACGCAAACTCACGCGCACCTCGCAACATGTGGTGCAGGAAGGAGATGAAGTGGTGCCGTACAACAGGCGTCAACTCCTCCGCGAGGCCAAAGTCCAGCAATACGAGCTGCACTCTTGCGGCAGCGACAGCAGCAGCGGCGGCGGCGGAGGCGGCAGCATCAAGCGAGTCCGACATCACCGGCGCCGCCGCCGCCTCGTTGGCGCCCCGCCCTCGACTGTCCTTTCCAGCTGCCCGACTTGGTCCGGTCTGCTGCGGGTGGCGCGGATGGTGCGATTGGCTGAGAGTGGGTCGGGGTCCCTGGAGCGCCTGGGGCAGTGGCCGCCCGTCGGGCCCCACCAGCCGCACCATGACGTTTCCTAAACAGGGAGTAAGGAGGGTGAGAGGTGAGGCGGGTGAGGAGGTGATGGAGGGGAAGGTTATGGAGGCTGAGGGGAAGGAGTGCATGTCTAGCGGAGGGCCAGACAGGAAGGTCGGAAAGGAGGTCCAAGACGACCCAAGGCAAGGTCTCGGTCCATAGGTTTGGCAGACAGACAGACAGACAGACAGACAGACGGCCTCAGGCACAGGCCGGCAGAGGAGGCACTTGCTCGGGGGCCGCGGCGACTGATGTCGGCTGTGCGGGTGGGGACAGCGCAAATGGCCCTTTCCCCCCTCCCCCCCCACTCCCCTATCCACCCATTTCCCCACCATTCCCAACTCATGTTCATATGACCATACCCATACCCGTACGACCACCCGCGCCTCCTAGATTCCACAAATCCCCGACCGACCGACACCTGGGTTAATGTCCGCGAGGCCTCTCCCCTCTTTCCCCGTTACAACCCAAGCCCCCACTCTGCAGCCACCCCACACCCTCACCCTGCCAGCCCCCACCCACTCGCCTGGATGCAGATCCGTGTGCACGAAGTTGTCCTGCAGCAGCATCTTGAGGTAGGTGTCCACCCCCAGACACACCACCGCAGTGTTGAGGGGACTGGGCTGCCGGATGAACGCCGCGACACTGGCGCCCACCTCCCAGCTCTCCACCATCACCTCCCGCCGTACCAGACCAGGCAGTGGCCGAGGAGTGGTCACCTGCGGGCGACGTACAGGCGTACAGACTTGCGTGCCATCCTCGCTAGTTCCTGCCTGCAGCTCAGGCTTTAAGAATATATGTATACATATACATATACATAATAATTGGGAAAGCAGGGACACCTCCATATGGAGGTTTGGGGTTGGGGGATAGGAAGAGGTAGAGGGTGAAGAGGAAGGGGAGGGGGTTGAACGGACAGAGTTGCGCATGTGACTCGCTGCGGGGTACCTGACTCCGCTGCGTATTAGGAAGGGGAGGGAAGGACCAACCACCGGCTCGGACACAAACCCAAAGTGATGCGTTGGTGATGTCGGAGTAGGTGGGTTGGGATACCGTACAGTCATGGATATTCATGGTACGACAATACACATGGAAATCAAAAGTCCACGTGTGCTCCAACCAAAGGCCAGGGCACCCACCCCTACCACCACCCGACCTGTTCAGCCACTCTGCTGAAGTTGAAGTAGAAGCGGCGCAGGTGGGCGGCCTCCACCCGCAGATCCGCCTGGGCAGTCATGGTGCTGCTGAACTGGCTCACGGTCTCGGGCAGGGACAGGGAGCGCAGGGAGGGCAGACGGCCCAGGGCGGCGGCGGCAGGCTGCAGCAGCGCGAAGTCCTGAAGGTTAAAACAACAACACCGCAGTAAAGTGGGGATGCGACATGGGGCTGAGGGCTGCTGGCGATAGTAGCAGGCGGTAGTAGCAGGCGAAAGGGAGCGCAAGTTGAACGTGGCAAGGGGCTATTATGGGGGGGAAAATCCAAGGTGCATGAAGACTTAAACGAGGGGACCCTGGAGAACAAGGAAACGCAGGAGTCAGGTAAGGAGCTGCTCTCGTACGACATCAATAGGGTGACGTCTTCCTTCCGTACCTGTCGTATCCGGAGCTCCACCTTGGGATGCACCACCTTGACCGCCACCTCCAACGGACTGCCGTCACTGCGGCGCATGAGAGCTCGGTGGACCTGTGTACGGCAATGGGCATGTGCACGGCAAGTAACGGTACTGCAGCACTATTACAAGAAAGGAAGGGAGCAATCAGTTAACAGCTCAGATGTGCAGTCGTACGTTTACGACATGGACGTGGCCAGTGGCGAGATCGACGGCATGGCGGCAGCAGTACGGCAGCAGTGGGGAAAAGTCGCTAGCAGGACTGAAAGAATAGATCTAGAATGAACCACAGCTCTACACACATACATACACACACGTATACGCAGCTTAATTCATTTAACACACACCCGCACGTAGATGCATGTGCTCACCTGGGCAATGCTTCCCGAGGCCACTGGTCGCTGGTCGAATGCTTCAAACATGACATCCAGAGGCACTCCGAACGCTCGCTCTACCTGTTTGGGGTGAAAGGGGTTTAGGGCATCATATGCAAGCAAAAGATCAAATGGTTGGCGGGGAGGAGCAGCTCGCAGCTCGCATTCATGCTGGTGCGATCTCGATGCGAGAAAGTCAACTGCCGCCGTCCAATGCATCAACTACCGAGGTACGGCAGGAATATGCTCTTATTGACGTGGGGGAAAGAGGTGTCCCTGGAGGTGTGGCTGTGGCTGTGGCCGTGGGAGCGAGCTCCGGTGGAATGTTTTTTCCGCAAGTGCGCGGGAGGCCAGTGCAGGAGCACCGGCGCTCGCAGCCCTCGCCGCTCGCGTCTCCTGAAGATCTCAACCCCGTTGCACATCCCTCCCCTTCCCCCTTTCCCCTCCCCTTCCCCCTCCCCCTTCCTCCTCCCCTTCCCTTCCGCATCCTTCAGTCTTTTTCCCTCGCCGCAAACGGTTAACCCCATTCCCCTTGCCAGCACTTGCCAAGACCTCAGCCGCACTACATAGTCCCTTTCCCCTTCTCCCACCTGGCGCTTGGTGAAGGCGAAGCTATGCCGGGGCGCCTGGTCATGCAGCTGAGATAGCGCCTCACAGAAATCATCAGGGAAAAGGTCCACCCGCGTGGCCGACCACTGACCCCACTTAATGAACGCAGCGCCGCTCAGACGACAGCCGCCCAGCAGCAGCCGCCATGCGCATCGCCGGCAGCCAACAGTCAGCGAAGAGCCGGGCCGGCGCGCGGCAGCAGCAACGTTGCCGCCGTTGTCTCTGCCTCCGTCTCCCAGCATCGTGGAAAGCAGCAGCAGCGTCGCTCCGAGGGTTAGGAACGGCGCAAAGACGGCGATCAGGTAGGCGGCGCGGCACAGAAGACCGAGCAGCTCCCACAGACCCGTGGGCCGCTGCTCGTGGTAATGGCAGTGGTGGTGCGACCGCAGCGTGCCGGCGTGGTCTCCTCTGCCGTACAACAGCAATCCCATCGCCTCCGCCTGCTCCTGCTCCCGCCGCAACAGCCGTGTCTCCTGGGCACGGGACAGTGGCGGTAGCTTCCAGGTATTCCCGATACCGCCGCCGCCGCCGCCGCTTATGCTGCAGTCTTCCAGCCCAAGTGGTTGGCGTGCGTCAGGTTGCGCTGTGCCGGGCCCTGCCGACGGCGATAGAGCCCATGGCCGTAGCCGCGACTGCAGCTCCTGTTCATGCTGGTGATGCTGCCAATCTGGCCGTAGCTGCGTAACATCGCAGGCGCCTTGGCTGTTGTTTTGGCTTATTCCACTGGCGCTAGGGCTGGGGTTTGTCCAGGAAACCAGAAATGCTGCCGGCGGCAGACCTGCTGACGTGGATTGGGCCCCGCTCTCCCCGTCCGTACAGTCCGTACGAGGGGTCACACCTGGCAGCGCAGCAGTACTGCAACCACAGGCCCTAACGGCGCCATCTGCGCCGTTGGCATGACCCAAACCACCATTACCAGCGCCCCCGTTACCTGTATGCGGTACAAATCTTGGGGCGGTACGGATGATGCCGGTAGAGCCGACACTGCTGCCGCCACCTGCAGCTTCGCCCGACGCCGCCCCGGCGGCGGACGTGTTGGCCGAGGTGGTGCAGCTGATGCCACTGCCCCACGAGGAGCTGTTGTCATACGGCAAGGAGCTATCCGGGGTCGCGGAGGCTCCGGAATCAGTGGGCGGTGGTTGAGGCCATGGCGTTGGTGCCGTACCGCCGTTACTGGCGGCAGCTGCAACGGGGACAACCGCCGCCGTCACCGTCACGGAGCCCTCGCGGCCGGCGGCCTGCGGACCCAGCGCCGCCGCGGCCGCCGCTGCAACTCTAGCCATCACTGAGGTTGCCAACGGTGGTGACGGCTCCGCCGCTTCCAGCTGCGGTGGCGTCGACCCAGCGATGGCCCTTAGGCGAGGGAAGCCTCGGCATGCAGCCGTTGAAATGGACATTGGGCTGGCGTTTCCAGAACCCCCCGTGATCACGACCACCTGGTGCTGCAGTTCAGGGGATCCTTGAGCGCCACCTCCAACTGTGGCATGAGCAGAGTTCGGTGGTTGCCGCGGCGGCGGAGCCGTCATCGAACTCACTGAACCGGCAAGCCGCCCTGGTGCTGTCCGTCGCCGTACTTCGCCGTACGTCGGCGGCACCGAGGAAGGATACGGACGCTCTGGAAACAGCTCCAACGGGGTTGAAGCGGTGCTTGGCGGTGTGACCTCGCCATCGCAGAACTCCGCCTGAACCGCCGCCGTAGTTTCCATGGATGCCAATGACGACACTGCGGGCGGCAACTTGGGACGCCCAGCTTGCTGGTCCCGGTCTACCGCGGGCATGATTTCTGGGCACACATGCCGCGGCTGGTGCAGCGGAGGCGACTGGGGCATCGGCAACGTGGACGGAGCGCTGCAATCGACCCATGGGTCTGCCACAGTTGCACGGGCGGGTAGGTCACGAGACGGGACTCCCGGTACCCGTTCCGCCTCCGCCGTAGCAATGGGCAACCCGCCTCCAACCCCTTGGGGCCGCAAATCCGTTGGGGCTGCAGTAGAATGCGCCGCAGGGGCAGCGGTCAATCCCGTCATAGTCGCCTCTACCGCCGTCGCCTGTCGCAACGCAGCGCGCCGGCGGCGAATCCGTCGGCCATGGCTGTACGACATGCTGAACAGAAACCGCCTCCGGCTGTATCCACAGCTGCCACACTCCCACAATCCCGCACCGCCGACGTCTCCACCGCCGCTGACAGCGCCCCCTCCCCTCAAGCTGTCGAGGGCACCGCACAGCGGCACACCGTCGACGGCCAGGCCTGCAGCAATGCTACACCGCTGTAGCGCCTGCAGTGCGGGCTGTAGCGGAGGCTGCTCGGGCAGGTCTCCCAGGTGCCTCGCCAGGCGCTGTGCTGCGGCTTTATGCAGTCGCCGCCATGCGAGCTCCTGTGCACGACCTTCATGGGCAGGCACCGGGTGCGGCAGGGCGGAAAGAGAATGAAGACAAAGGAAGAAGACAAGGAAGACAAAGGAGGCAGTCAGGGAGTGGAGGGTTGAACCATATGGTGAAACGGGGATGGTTTACGCAGAAGACCTTCCCCAAACCCCCAGCCCAGCACACCCGCAATACCCCAGCACCATCTTCACAGCTGCATGGGGTGGGAAAGGGGCCCACTTCTTGTCCTGCTCACCTGGCGGCAGGCGCCCCAGCTGTGCTTGGCGGGCCAGGCAACTGTACGACAAACCTACTGCCGTCAGATCCACGACGGCCTCCGCCAGCGCAGCGCTGGAGGCGTGTACGGCACGCCAGGCCCTGCCCGCCAGGGACAGCAGCGCCGAGGTGCCTGCTCGGCGGTTGGAACGGTTGGTAAGCAAGGCTTCAGACTTTGAAGACAGCGAAAGCCACGGAATTGCAAGGCGACGGAGTATGAAGGACAAACCCTCCGCCCCATATTCTTGCGACAAAGGAAATGGTGATGACACCTATGACCATTCCACTTGCCTGCTGCGTCCGATGCTAACTCCTATAGCCCTCACTCTTCCTTTAGCACTGTTATCAGCTCCGACTCACCCAAGACGCGTTCCACCAGCGCTGAAGCAGGACGGGCTACATGCCCCAATCCGCCCATCAACCCGACCAGCCACCGTCGCAAACTGTTGCTCGCTGGCGTCTGCGGTGGCCGCGCACCACCCGCCGCAGCGTGTCCTCCTCCTCCGCCAGCGGGCGAAAAATCCACTTTCAGCACGGCGCTTTGACCGAACCATGGATTGAATCCCACCGCACCCAAAGCTCCAAGATCACCTCTTTTTGAATGCGCTGCCAGTGGCCCACACTTGAGAGCGCGGTCGTGGCAGCTAAGGTTGTGGCAAGGATCTGTGGAAAGAGGGAGGTCGAGTTCAAGGCTCGCCAGCTGGGGTTCCATGGGTGCTTGGTCCAACTCCGTCAGGATCTTTGGCAGCGGCAACGATAACCGTTGGACTGCTGCCGCCACCAGCTCTGCCGCCAACACTGTCAAACCCGGCAATTCCAAGGACGACGCCACCGCTGTCGCCGCATCAGAATGCAGCACAGAGAACAGCAACAGCGCCCCGGCGGTGGATGCATACTGGCGAATCGTAGTAGCAGCTGTGGCGGCGGTTTTGCCACCATCTACCCTATGGCAGCGGCGGCGGCCGACATGCTGGTTTCTGCGGCACGCTGCGGCGGCTGAAGCCCAGGCGCCGCCGTCGCCAGCTACTGGGCTGGGGCATCGTCGGCCGTCGCACTGGCCAGCAGAACGCTTTGGACTACCATACCTTCGCCAGGGCGACGGAGAACGAGCCCATGAACCATGACTGAGAACTGCTGATGAGGATTGGGGTAAGTCGCACGGCCCTGCGTCACCTGCACGCACAAATACAGCCCCACAGTGAGCAACTGGATCTGAACGAACAACGGAGCAGTGTAACCTGGACCTTCGTACTCGGGGGGGAAGAAAATTCTGTAAAGGCATGGGTGGCGCAGCGGACACGTCGCCCATATCCCCTCCCCTGTAGCATCCCACGCAAGTATGGGAGTTCCTTCGTTTTCCGTAGATTAGACCTAGCATGTTTATGGGCTGGTGTGGTAGTTCCTGGACCGAGGCTGTAAGGGTGACGATTGGGGATCCCTACGGGAGAACCCTAAGCCGCGAGCCTGAGAGATGCCAACGTACTTATTGACCATGATTTTTTCGATAAGCGTTTGGATACCTGTGCTGCCAAATCGCAGACGCACGAGCTCTATGCGCAAGTCCGGCCGTCCAGAGGTGGTGGCGCTGACCGCAATGCCAACTGGGAAATCAACCGATAGTCCCTCCGAGATATACAGCGTGTCATCGCAGACAGGTCTACTTTCAGAGCCGTATGCGGGATCGTCCAGGGCCTGGAGCGTCCAAAGCCTGTGGCAAAGGTCAAACGTCAATGGTCACCGCCGGGTTGGTTACTAAAGCCGTTCGAGCCCCACGGCTTACTGCTGTATCCCTTGCAGCATATAAAAGTGATCTATGGCTAGCTCACAGCAAAGCATGTGTTGCGGACCTCTGGGAAAAAGCGGCGGACCGCCGAGGTCCACAGGCCTTGCCCTCCTTGCAAGACTCCAACGCCTGAATGCACCTGACGCTATCTGATCTTCTCGGTTTCTCGGATTCTCGGTTTAAGAACATCGAAGAAGCTACAACACATCCACGACCACCGCTTAGTAGTCGCTGCCACAAGAAATCCGTCTCATTTTTGCAGTGGTGCCTTCTTTATAACTCTTTACAAACGTGATGAGAAGCATTCAACATCGTTTCAACATCTGGAATCGCACGGCTTTCGGTCACAAACTTGCTTCTAGCCCCTTGGAGTTGGTTGCTCAACCGTAATGTTCCGGAACTTGCAAGCAGAGGTCGGCAAATCGGTTTCTACGGCTGCGGGAGGGCATAATTTCGGTCAATAAACCTAAAAAAAAAATTGGGGCGCCTTCCGGCGCCAAAAAACAGCATTTCAGGGCTGCACGTTCCGTACACATGGCAGACTGATCGTTTTACAGGGGGGGAAAGTCGTCGCCGGGCAAGTTCTTGCGCCACGAAGTTAGTGTCGCCCCCCGAGCTATCCATCCTCACAAAGCCGACCGCATGCGGTTGAAGCGCGGGTCGCGAAGGGTATTCTCGACCTTATCGGCGATGTGCGTGTAGAGGTGCATCCTAGTGGAGGACTTGTACTTGGCCATTGCCCCCTTTAACACTGCATCCTCCTTCTTGAAGGATCCCGACGTATTCAGCTTCACGAAAAGACTCTCGTTAAGCCGGATAGCTGACAAGCGCGTCCGGGCGGAAAAGACGCGCTCGCGATTGACCGACGTGGGCTTAATTTGCACACAGAACAGCGCGAGCTTCCACATCTCCCGCACGCGCTCCATCAGCTCCTCTGCGGCATCAGCACCCTCATAGCCCTCATCACCAACACCGAACACCTCCTCACACCCAAGGAGCTGTGACAGCAGCTGCTGCTGCTCCACGTAAGACTTCAAGAACGCCTCCCGATCCTTCACAGCAGCTGGCCGCAACTTCCACATCTCATGCTTAAACACGGGCAGCTGCAACTTGGCCTCCTCGAAATCGATTTGTGGATGGCAATCATGCATGTGCTTCTTCTCCTCCAGGCGCTCCGTGAAGTAGCCCCTCAGTGCTTCAAACGCGTCCTCACCCCAATCGTCCACCTCATCCGGGTACTCGACAGGATCAAACAGGCCCAGTGCCAACAAGAAGCTGCTGTTAGGGAACCGTCGATCGAGATATTTGATGAGATTCTCGGTGAACTCCTCGAAGAGGTCGTGCATGATGCTCTCTGGTGACTCAGGGACGTTCGACACGGGGTGACCATGAAAGGATCTGAACCCCGTCGCTGCCATAAGCTGCCAAAAGGACTTCAGGGCAGGAGTTGTGTGCTGCCCTGGCAGCACATCTATGAAGCTCATCCGCAGCAAGCGCTGCACTGCCGCAATAGTCCCAGCAACATCAGAAAACTTAAACTGCTGGGCTTGCATTAGCTTGAACACACCATCCGTCTGCACCAGCACATCACAGATGAAGTGCAGGCCCACCAGCGTCCAGAAATTGCAAGCAGAATCCCATCTCATAGTTACGGTGTCGGAAGAACCCTTTTGATCATAGCTGGAACGTTGGATTATGCCTTGTTGAGGGTTACAAGTTATGGAGGAGGCCGAATCTTTGTACGATAACCTTTCCGTTTTAAGGTCATCAAAGAAATGCTGAAACCAGTCCATGCATTCTATAGGCTCCATCAACCCAATCATCGCACCTGATAACTTCAGGACATCCCCCGACTCCCACAATCCCTGGTCCCGTGAGCAGTTGCCAGACCCAAAGGTCTGCGGTTTCGGGTCATGCTTTCCGGGATTTTGGATTTGTGAAGATGACACAATGGCCAAGCTCGATATCGCCCTCTTTGCAACTTACGGATCACGCGCGGACACCACCTGCCAGGGAAAAAGGGACCTGCCATCAACCTTTCACCAGTCGCTTTCTAGTCCCCAGAAATCAAATCCGACATAATTTTGCTTCTCTAAAACGCTGCATTTTTGCAGAAGCCTGGCTCGATCAAGTCTCAGTTGCTTGACTGGGCATCATACTCGAACATTGTGAAACACAAATGGCCTTTCACCTACACCCAGATTTCCCCCTTCCAATGCCCTCCCTGCTGTCTCCCGGCGGATGCCGCAGACCCTGGGCCCGTCACCGCCGCGGCACACGTGGTGTTTAGTGCCTCAGCCGCAACCAAGTGTGACAATTCCATGCGGCAGCCTTGGCAGCTGGCAGAGGTTACGACCCAATGTGGGCAATGCGGGTTTCCACAATACAACCCAGCAATACACCTGATTTAGAGCTTAACAGCATCTTGGTCACAGACAGTAAGGGGTGAGCAGCTTAAATTGTGATGAGAGAAGCGCCTGGGTTGGGCAGCTTGTGAGAGAAATCTTTTTGGGGCCTACCTCCATAACTCTTCCATCAGTGCATGGCTGTTCATGCCAGAGGTGCGGCAATAATGGCATAGCCTTCGATAAACTTACGGAAGTAGTTCGTCAGCCCCAAGAACTTCCTTAGTTCTTGCAAATTGGTCGGGGTAGGCCAGTTCCGCACCGCAGCAGTCGGATGCCATCCTGGAGACGATGTGACCAAGGTATTCAACCTGAGGCTGGGCCCAGTGGCACTTAGAACGCTTGGCAAACAGTTGCTCACGCCGTAAGATTTCAAAGACCAGCAGCAAATGCTCCAGGTGCTCTTCACGTGTCTTTAAATAAACCGGGATATCGTCTAGGTAGCAAATGACAAAACGGTCTATGTAGGGCCGAAAGGTTCGGTCCATCAGGGCTTGGAACGTGGCAGGAGCGTTCGTCAAGCCGAAGCTCAGCACAGTATACTCATAATGACCAGAGGGCATACGAAATGCAGCCTTCGGAATATCTGAATCAGCAATACGGATTTGATTGTACCCCTGCTGTAGGTCAATAGAGCTAAAGAACACCGAGCCACGCAGTCTATCCAGTAGATCATGGATGATTTTAGCGATTTTAGCGATTTTTTACAGTGGTCACATTTAGACCCCTGTAGTCTATGCACATACGCAGAGTCCCGTCCTTTTTACCCACAAATAAAATGGGAGCAGAGTACAGGGATGTGCTGGGTCGAATATACCTTTCCTCAGTAGGTCGGCTACCTGGCGTGTCACCTCATCCAGCTCCAGGGGACTGAGGCAATACATAGGGCGCGAAGCAGGCTGTGCACCAGGACTCCATACCATACCTTTGGCTCCTGGCCCAGGAGCCAAAGGTATGGTATGATCTACAGGTCTCATCAGGGGAAGTCCAGGGACCTCACGGAAGATATCTGAGTATTCATTAAGAAGGGCTTCAACGGCAGGGTCATTTTCAATGATCTGGGTAATGGCTGTATTCAGCTGCAATTTAGGCCATACTAGCAATGCATGCGTCCCCTTGTGAATCATAAGGATAGCTGCTTTGCACCCAATGGGCTCAGGCTCAATTCGCTTACAGCAGCAGCAGCAAAATTCACACAGGGTTCGGAATGCGCAGCACTAGTATTTCCTTCTCCCATCCGTCCTGCAGTGGTGAAAGGCCGCCTTATAACACAAGGTTCCCTTCTGCAACTGCAAGGTGTGGGTCTCATAATTTAGATGAGCCCCATACTGATCAAGGGTAGCGGACCCTAAGATAAACTTGGCTGCATCAGTAAACTTAGGCAGCACATATGGATGGACATTTAGGCGCAGAGGGCCCAAGGATATATGAAGGAACACTTGACCCAAAATGACCTGCTTACCCCCATCAGCAAGGGTGACCACGATGCCGGTTGAGGTTTCAGTCCGAGCTGCTCAACAATGGACACGGAAATGAAGTCATCGCTTGCACCAGAGTCAGCCATGGCAGTTAAGGAATGTCCAGCGACACGAATGCCAATTAAAGGAACTCTGGGCCCTGTTGACGCAGCAACTTTTGCACACATGACTGAAACATGGGGCTCCATGTCAAGGTGCCCCAGGACAAGAGGGGGATCGTACCAAACATCAGCAGTATACGGCAAACCTGGAAGGGAAACAAGTTGACCCGTCATGTCTACACCGTTGAAGAGCTTGCTACGGGCACGAAACTGCAGAACCCGACGCATCCCTGTCAGCAAGGAGGCAGCCCTCCAGGATACATGTGCTGGTAACAGGAGACAGGCCACGGTGTCAGGTCGCTGATGTTTGCAAGTACGATAATGAGCAAGCTGAGACTGAAGTTCTTGGAAAGAGGAGGGGGAAAACCAAACGGTATGCCCACCCAATTTGCTAGAGGTTAGACGCCATGGGATAGCAAACAGATTACCATGCTCATCAAAACCAGGACGAGCAATACGAGCGTCAAACGAAAAACGCCGCCCAACGGCCTTCTCAACTTGGTTGAACACGGCCGGCAAAACAGCACGGACAGCATGTCTAACCGGGCAGATTACAGGCACCGTTCGGGTTTGTAACCCAGGGAGTGCTTCCCTGACCCTGAGCAACCCCCTATTTGTCCACGTTCCTAGCTTTCTTCTCTGAATGCAACGGGCACTCCGCCACTAGGTGCTTGTCCTCCCCATAGCGGAGGCAACGGCCATTTTTCCGGCGGTAATCATACTTAGTAGTACAGTAAAACTTAGTCATCCAAAGCCCAGACTGATTGTCCACTTTCCATTTACACCAGGCCATTTTGTTTAACTGCTCTTTAGGCGAAAAGATGATGTCTATCGATGAGCAAATCGTAGAAGTGTCGGGAAAGGTCGCGGCGGAACCTAACAACAAAGGCCTATGGCGAACTGAAGCACGACAAATAACAACGCGAGGAACGACAACGCGCGAAAAATCTTCTCGACGAGGCCCTCAAGAATCTAATAGCCAACCCTGATTCGCAGACCACCAAGGATGAATGGGAGCGGCCGCGGAATATGACAGGTTGTTATAGAGGTTGTTGTGCGCTAGAGATTTGCAAGGGTTATGTTATGTGCCTTGCGAAACTAGTCGCAGTGCTTGTGACTGTGTAATGTCAAAGTAAGGTTCTTAGGTTCATTAGAGCCGCCCTCCTGAAATGAACCTAAGAACCTTACTCCGACATTACACAGTCACAAGCACTGCGACTAGTTTCGCAAAGCACCTAACATAACCCTTGCAAATCTCTAGCGCACCAAGCTGTCATAATCAGCGCCCGCTCCCATTAATCCTTGGCGGTCTGCGAACCAGGGTTGGCTATTAGGTTCTTGTGGGCCTCGTCGACAAGGTTTTTCTCGCGTTGTCGTTCCTCGCGTTGTTATTCGTCGTGCCATAGGTTCGCCAGGTGCTCACGTAGGCCTTCGTTGTTAGGTTCCGCCGCGACCTTACTCGACACTTCTACGATTTGCTCAAGAGACGTCATCTTTTCGCCTCCTAAAGAGAGGTTAAACAATATTGGCCGGGTGTACATGGAGTGTGGGATATTAGTCTGGGCTTGGGGTTGCTAAATCCTAATCGAGGTCAGGATGCCCTGGAGTGGTCGCTAGTACGGCTGCCACGTAACTAAGCGCAAAATAAATTCTGAATTTATTCGAAAGCTTACAGGATGTACCTTGTTACCGCTTTGCTGCAAAATGGCCGTCCCCCATCCTCCATCTTGTTCAATCCTCGAACTATCTGAACGAATTCGCATACACTTATGACAACCTTGGCCACGGTGTCCCGAATCTTGTTCTGAATACCTAGCCAACTTGCCGCTCCTAGCTCCATGTAACAGGGTATTTCCACTTGGCCGCACACTAACTTTCCAACATTATCTTTAACGTGGATTTAGTGTGTGGCTATTGAGCAGGTGTTTCCACTAAGCGCTCCGGAACCATACGACAGGTTGCTATTAACGCACCAAATCATTGTAATAGTAAGAGTGGGTGTGATATAATGCGCAAATCATTGCAGTTTGGTCGACTAATTGCTGGAATGTGACAATTCGACCGGTCCTGCTCGGAATTCCACTGGTCAGCGGGCTATTTGCGGCTGTGGATAAAGGAAAATGCAAAAGTCAACGAAGGACATTGAGGAAGGAAAATGGCTGACAATGAATTTTCCCGCTCGGAAGTTAATGCCCAGGTCTGAGGCCCTGATAACTAGTGTGCCACTTATGCGGACTTAGTGTACGAGGCGTTTCCACTGGGCCCTTCGGCGCGGCGCTTACAGGGCAGTCTCAGTTGGTCGGCCCTTCGCCTCCACACAGCCCCCCGGGGCGGGTCCCCAAGAGGGCCCCGAGGCGGCAGGAGGACAGCACCTGGCGTCTGACCAGTCAGCCTTCAACAGTCATGCCAACCGTGTCATCAACCACAACATTGCGGCCGCTCAGGCGGCCGCAGTGGAGTTTGACGAGATGCAGGACACCGAAGCATGGGTGCAGCTGGTCATGCAGGTGGCACAGCACTACAAGACAGCATCCGAGGCGCAGCAGACCCAGAAGCAGCTCAACGACATGTCACAGCTGTTGCCCTACAAGGAGGTCATCCGCCTGGTGAGGGATGGTGACCCGCATATGACCTCCCTTGTCTCCTCTGAACAGTGAGCGCACCTGGGTGCAGCGCTTACAGGGCAGTCTCAGTCAGCCAGCCGGTCTGGCTCCAAGCTGCCCTTCACCTCCACACAGCCCCTCGGGGTGGGA